TGGACTTGGCGCATGATATATTTCCCAAAGTGCAGCCACATCTTTACTCCTGGATCAACAGATATGGTAAGATCGATGCATATTGTCTTCTAACTTCTAGCTCTATGAAAATATTGACCATTTTGTTCTTTTATGTGATTAGGGAAGAACTATCTTTATTGGAAAGGCGTTCGACCTCAACTTGTGATTTCAGAACCTGAACTAGTAAAAGAAGTTCTGATAAATAATGAAAATGCTTATCCAAAGTTGAAGCTTCCAATTTATGTTAGCAAGCTACTGGGGAACGGGATTGTGACAACTGAGGGTGAAAAATGGGTGAGGCAGCGGAAGCTGGCAAATTACGTTTTTCATGGGGAAAGCTTAAAGGTAAAGTCTGCAAATATATTTTTGACTAAACCTTATGTTTTTTGTTGCTTACTTATTGGAGGATTATTTGGGTAGAACATGACACCGGCAGTACTTGCAAGCGTTGAAACAATGCTAGAAAACTGGAAAGGTGAAGAAGGAAAAGAGATCGATGTGTTCCAAGAATTCAGATTGTTGACTTCAGAAGTGATATCGAGAACAGCCTTCGGTAGCACTTACTTGGAAGGGGAGAAGATTTTTGCCATGTTGAACAAGTTAATAATTTGGGACCGAAATGCTTTCAAGACTAACATTCCTATTATCAAGTATGTTCCCTATATGCTTAATTAATCCTTGAGTTTTGCCTTGATTAACAAGTTTCTGAATGCATAATTAATTCTTGGTTTACTTGTATAGCAAGTTATGGAAATCTGCTGATTTGTTAGAGTCAGAAAAACTTGCAAAAGAAATACAAGATTGTGTGATGAAAATTGTTAAGAAAAGAGAAGACGAAGTTGTGAATGGGTGAATGGAGAAGCTGATAGCTTCGGCAATGATTTTCTGGGATTACTTGTAAATGCCTTTCATGATTTGGACGACAAAAACAGGCTTTCATTGGAAGACTTGGTAGGTGAGTGCAAAACATTCTACTTCTCTGGACAAGAAACTGTTAATTCCTTGCTTTCCTGGACAGTCTTCCTTTTAGCAATCCATGGAGATTGGCAGGAAAAAGCAAGAAGAGAGGTGATTCAGATACTTGGTAACCAAAATCCACATCCTGAAGGCATCGCAAAACTCAAAACAGTAAGCAAACTATTTAACCATTTAAAATCAGTGTACAATACAGATTTAAATAGCGATTGCAACAGATGTTACAGTCACTATTCTGCAGCTTCAGCTATTTAGATGTTGATATTCATCACTAATGTTTACTACAACTGATTGTCATAACATACACTACGTCTGCCGACCTAAAAATTAAAACAAGGTCATAATATAAATCCCTGGTGTATGCTACCATGTGTTTAGTACATTAATCTTTTTATACAATCTCACATATTTGTATTCTGCAAACAGATCACCATGATCATTAATGAAACTCCAAGACTCTATGGTCCAACGACTTTGTTAGCAAGAGAAGTTGCAAGAGAAGTTCAGTTAGGAAAGCTAGTGTTGCCTGCAAATGTAAATCTTCTTTTTCCAATTATGGCACTTCACCATGACCCTCATTTGTGGGGAGATGACGTACATATGTTTAAACCAGAGAGATTTGCAGAAGGGATAGGCAGAGCTACCAAATACAACGCGGCATCATTTTTTCCGTTTGGATTGGGACCTCGATCTTGTGTTGGTATGACCTTTTCACTCACAGAAACCAAGTTTGCTCTCTCCATGATTCTACAATGCTACACATTTACCCTTTCCCCTGCCTATGTCCACTCACCAATGAGTATTATCACCCTTCGACCACAACATGGAATTCAAATAATACTTGAGTCACTGAATAAGGATGCTTAAAGTACAGAGCAGCTAAGGACTAGTGGTTCAACTCGGTCCATATATATTAAGATTATGTGCATGGGGTTTTCAGCATTCACAACCTTTTCTTATTCTGAAGCTTCGTCCTCCTCTATAAAGAATGAAATGTACACTGTTGATGTATTGACAAAGGATATATTATTTTAATTTTCGTTAATATTAAATATCGAATTTTTAAAAATGTGTAGGTCTCTTGTTTTATTTTGGGTAGTTCGAAGAGCATAAAATTAGTTAGTAAGCATATGTCAGACATGCACTTATAAACTGAAACATCACTGTCTCTTGTTTGATCATTTTCAGAATACATTTCGGATAGCGACGTGGTGATACTGGATGAGGGTTTATTTGGGCGAAGTTGGCAGATAACGCAGGCAATTAATGTCGGGTGCCAAAAGCCAACAATGGTTGGCAATGTCTACTCATACCACTAAGGTCACCCATTGGGTCCTAAACCCATAAACCTAAATCTTGTCTTTAGGCCAACCATAGTTATCACTTAGTCCAATTTCGAAAATAACATATTTTACTCTCGATAGAGTATTTTCAATCAAGGAAATTAATACCCCGTATTAAGCTCAACTTTTTTTTTTGAAAAAAAATATTAAGCTCAATCGGACATATACACTCATGTCCTAAACCAACAAGACTCCTAGCCTAAAACTACCTATTAGTATCGATACTCTCTCTTAGGTGTTGATACCCAATTTGAAATATCAATATCATCCCTCTCTATCAATGCCAAAATAAGGATCGAAGTGACTTAACATAAAATAAGTATCGATACTACCCTTGTGAGTATTGATACTTGTCTAGAATACCAATATCAATTTAAGCCTCGAAGTTCAAGAAATTAATTAGGTGCCGATATCATTATGCTATTATCGATGCTCACCATAAGTGCTAATACCAACCTCAGCTTCGATATTCGAATATATCTCCTTGATACCGACACATACCCTTGTATCAATACCCTATTAAAAATTTTGATATTGTAAAGAACAATATCAATACTAAAGGTCAAACTTGCCTATATTTCTACACGCATTCATCCGATATCGACAGTGCATAAACGATATCGATTCTAAAACCTAAAAAATGATTTCTAAGGCTTAAAAACCGCATTCAAATCCCCTCTATATATTATCAGCTAGGCCAAACATTATTTCTAAAGTTTCCAAGGGTCTTATAGGATTATTTATCATCTAAATTTAGGCCAAACAATATTTCTAAAGTTCACAAGGGTCTTATAGGATCATTTATCATCTAAATATCCTATGTTAAACACCCAATCAAACATTTCAAGTCATAACCATGTAACATACAGAAAGTACTCGGCAGATGCACTCGACTCCTATTATTTTGGATAAATTATTAAATATAATTCAATATAATAAGAGTAGAAAAAATAAGAAAATTTGCATACCCATTTTGTCAGAAAACAAAAGAGTATTAAAATTTAGACCCTTATTTTTAAATTTTTGGATCCGTAGCTAATAAAATATACTTTCAAGCAACATTCTACTGCAAGGCATCATCTTTATGATAACCATGATCAAAGTTCACCAAGCAAAGGTTTGCCTCTAACCCTTGAGGGTTCTCCTTGCTCCTTTTTAGTCAAACACAACCAAAATGATTTTTTTTGTTGACCTCCCAATTATAAGATTTTATCTTGACCATTTTGAATCGATCTGCGTCTGAAAATGATTTTTAATCGTTCAAAAAGGATAAAATAAATACTAAAGACGAATTTAATAACATGAGTTAACTCCAAACACATTTGATTTTGGGCTTGCTTGCCAAAACCCTCACTAAATCCTTCCAAACCTCATGTCCTAAAAATTGTCAATATAGATCTTATTTTGAAGCCCATAAATTTATGGAGGTTATTCTTAAATCTACTTCTTAGTTGCCCAAAGGAAGAGTTCAAGCTTTAGGGGAAGAAAAATGAAGAAGAAAAAAAGAAGGAAAAAAAGGAAGCGCGTGAAGGCTAACCCCTTTCTTTCTCAAATAAGATCACAGTGACATCACCAAAATCTCCTCCATATCAGGTATTAAATTCTTTAATGAGTTAATTATTCTTTTAGTCCTTCAACGTTTAAGCTCTCATAAAAATTCTTTTTTTTTTAAGTTCAATTGAGGCCCAACAAACCTCAAAGGTCCACTACTCACGGTAACACTATTCACACACGAACATCAAAGGAAATCTTAAACTCCATCCTACGAGCAAAAGGCAAGTTAAAGAGATTCATAACTTTTTACTAAGCACAACAATGGCTGGTAATTAAAAGGAGATCCAGAAGTTGATCAAAGAGATCCTCATGTTGGGGTTTGGGAAATTTACACGATACGTCTCAATCTTAGGTTTTTCAGATTAAACTTCTAACTTTCATACGTATTCAATATAGTCACAAATCCATGAAAATATTTCAATTGAGCGACTAGATTATGATTTCATTCAATTCAGTCCTCTGAATTTCAGATCTAGATTCAATTAAATCCTTTCAACTTGCATTTCATATAATTAATTCCCGAATTTAAACATTTATTAATTTCAAAGTCTGATTTATTTATACAAACTTTTAGACCGAGTTTCGAGATATTACGAATGTCGTAATAGATTATTTGTATTTTTGCTTATAATAATGAAGTGCCTGACATATGCTTCATGGCTAATTTCGATGCTCATCGAGGCAGATGCATAATTTATTATTATTTTGATTATAATTAAAAGGACATGATCAGAGTTAACTATGATAATCACTATATGATTAATTTAATCCTCCTTAATAGTTGTACGCCAAATGGACATTGATGTTCTGATTTATAATGATGTCTAACAGATACTTCCTACCTAATTTCGATGCTCTTCAAACCACCCAAAAGGATCTGAGTTAATTATTAAAATAAGAAGTGATATCATCTATTATTTGAATCCTTGTTCATTTATACTAAGATTGCCATCCAGTTTAAAATACAATGTAGCTTCAAACACGACAAATGGAAGAAAACAGGAAATCATAAGTCAACTGTTCTTTCTTCCTCATAGCAATAATAAAGTTCCATGTAACATCTGAATTCACAACACAAATACTAAAGCAACATCTGATTTCATTTCCAACAGAAGAAAACTGAGTGCCTTGATGGAACTCGTTATTCTTGTGCCATGTTCTTTCTTCCTCGTAGCAATAATAAAGTTCCTTTATGATTACTTGTGGAGGCCTCTCCGTATACAGCATATGCTGAATTCACAGGGAATCAAAGGACCTCCTTACAGATTCATCCATGGAAACAACAAAGAAGTTATTCAAATGAAAAAGGAAGCATTAAGCAAACATATGGGCTTGACGCATGAGTTATTTCCCATAGTGCAGCCACATCATTACTCCTGGATCAACAGATACGGTAAGATCGATGCAAAATGTTTTCTAACTTCTACCTCCATGAAAAAATTGACCATTTTGTTTCTTTATGCGGTTAGGGAAGAATTATCTTTATTGGAATGGCGTTAGAGCTCAATTTGTGCTTTCAGAACCTGAACTAGTAAAAGAAGTTTTACAAAATAATGAAAAGGTTTATCCAAATAGGAAGCCTTCAATTTATCATAGAAACCTATCGGGGAACGGGCTTGCTTTAATTGATGGTGAAAAATGGGTGAGACAGAGGAAGCTGGCAAATTACGTTTTTCATGGGGAAAGCCTAAAGGTAAAGCCTGCAAATATATTTTTGACTAAACCTTATGTTTTTTTGTTGCTTACTTATTGGAGGATTATTTTGGCAGAAAATGATACCGGCGGTAATCGCTAGCGTTGAAACAATGTTAGAAAAATGGAAAGGTCAAGAAGGAAAAGAGATCGAAGTGTCCCAAGAATTCAAATTATTAAGTTCAGAAGTGATATCGAGAACAGCTTTCGGTAGCAGTTACTTGGAAGGGGAGAAGATTTTTGCCATTTTGAACAAGTTGTCAATAATTATGATTCGAAATGCTTACAATACCAGAATTCCTTTCATCAAGTATGTTCCCTCAAATCTTAACTGATCCTTGAGTTTTGCCTTGATTAACTATTTTCTGAATGCAAAATTTTAGGTTGTTAATCTCCATGGGATTTTTTTTCATATATATAGCTGACCTTGGTTTACTTGTCTAGCAAGTTATGGAAACCTGCTGATTTGTTAGAGTCAGAAAAGCTTGCAAAAGAAATACAAGATTGTGTGGTGAAGATTGTTAAGAAAAGAGAAGACAAAGTTTTGAATGGAGAAGCTGATAGGTTCGGCAATGATTTTCTGGGATTACTTGTAAATGCCTTTCATGATTTGGACCAGAAGAACAGGCTTTCATTGGAAGACTTGGTAGGTGAGTGCAAAACATTCTACTTGGCTGGACAAGAAACTGTTAGTTCCTTGCTTGCCTGGACGGTCTTCCTTTTAGCAATCCATGGAGATTGGCAGGAAAAGGCAAGAAGAGAGGTGATTCAGATATTTGGTAACCAAAATCCACATCCTGAAGGCATCGCAAAACTCAAAACAGTAAGCAAACTATTTAACCATTTAAAATTAGTGTATGATACAGATTTAAATAGCGACTGCAACAGATGTTACAGTCACTATTTTGCAGCTTCAGCTATTTCTGTTGATATTCATCACATATTTCTATTCTGCAAACAGATGACCATGATCATTAATGAAACTCTAAGACTGTACGCTCCATTGACTTTGTTAGTAAGAGAAGTTGCAAGAGAAGTTCAGTTGGGAAAGCTAGTGTTGCCTGCAAATATAGATCTTGTCGTTACAAATATGGCACTTCACCATGACCCTCATTTGTGGGGAGATGACGTACATCTGTTTAAACCAGAGAGATTTGTAGAAGGGATTGGCAGAGCTACCAAATACAACGCGGCATCATTTTTTCCGTTTGGATTGGGACCTCGATCTTGTGTTGGTATGACCTTTGCACTCACAGAAACCAAGATTGCTCTCTCCATGATTCTACAATGCTACACATTTACCCTTTCCCCTGCCTACGTCCACTCACCAATGACTATTATCTCCCTTCAACCTCAACATGGAATTCAAATAATACTTGAGTCACTTCAGAACGAAGCTTAAAGTACAGAGCAGCTAAGGACTCGGGGTTCAGCTCAGTCGGTCCATATATTCACCTTTACTAGATAATATTAAGTGTATGTGGGGTTTTAGCATTCGCATCATCTTCGTATTATGAAGCTTTGTCCTCCTTTATACAGAAAGAAATGTAAGCAGCTGCTAATTTCCAAGATGGTAAAACATGCAATCAATAAATGAAGAATGTTATTTTCTAATACTTGTTGATAAATTTATAGTTTTTTTTTCTTATAAATGATAAAACTGTGTCAAGGAGATGTGAATCCACAAGAGATGTGCATTATGGTTACTGTGTTTTCTGGAGATATTGATCGTTTTTGGGAACTATTAAAATTATTGTAAGACGAAACGTTAGAATCCACGTGAAGTCTTGGCATTATAGTGAATAATTTTCCTTGCTATAATTTTGATATTGTAATGAATTTCTCTCTTTACAAACTTGGCGTTTTTATTTTTGATCTTATTGTTTTGGCATTGTTTATTGGACGTTATTTCAAAACACTTCAATAACAAACTTACAAAAGAAATACATTGTTAATAAAAAGAAGGCAGATATTTGAATTGAGAAGCAAATAGATTCGACAACAATGATTTTTGAGTTAATGCCTATCATGATTTGGAGATCATTTTAGAATGAAGGTTGTAGTTTGGGGATGGAATTGAAATGTTCAAAATATAGATGACTGATTTAGAATGATAATAATAATTTAGGTATTAAATTGGAATATTTAAAAGTTTAGGGACCAATTCAAAATGAAAATCATAATTTGAGGAGATATGATGCAATAACTATTTATTTTTAGTCGAATTTTACTTACCTAATAAAAGGGGCATACTGGATAGGCCTGTGGGCTTGGGTCTAGATTTCGGTCATGTCTATTTTTCCTGATCCGTTTATTACATTTTATTTTATTATTGCTTGCTTTGCTAAAAAATTAATTAATCTAGATTGAAAATAAACTAAGACGTACAAATTAATAATTTCCAAATGAAACAGTAAAAAATTTTATAATGTTTTAGACATGTAAATTAATTTGACTTAATTAACTAAATTTATTTGAGGCCCAAGAGAATATGTTGGCCAAATTTGATTCACTGAATTAATTTATTTAATCATAATCAAATATAAAAATAAATGTTTACTTGGAACTTGAAAATGAACAACAAGTAACACATTGTATTTTGGCAAAGATCATAGCAGTGGCGGAACTTAATTATTGAGTTTTGGGGTCAATTTAAAATTTTAAAAAAGTTAAAAGTTTAAATTAAAGTTTTTAAAAGTTTTGAAGGATTCAGTTTATATTTTTTCAAAATAAAGTGGGTATAACTAAAAAGTTTTAAATTTTGAGAGGGTTAATGAGAATTTTTAAAAATTATGGCAGGGATTTAAATTAAGAATATTCAAAAAAAATTAATATGACTTTCTAAAAAAATTTTAGGGACCAAATTAAATATTTTCAAAAAAATGAAAGGTCTAAACTATAATTTGTCAACTTTTTAAGAGGCATTGCATTACGAATCTCTAGCATCTTCTGTCACTGGATAAAAGTATTTAATAATCACTGTATGATTATTTATTTATTTTGATGCAACTATATGGTTATTTTAATCCTGCTCGGTAGTTATAGGGCGAATAGAAGTTGATGTATTTTTGGCTTATAATAATATGCGTGACATATGCTTCATGTCTAATTTCGATGCTCTTCAAAGCAGATGGGTCCTTTATTATGATTGTCATCAATGGATAGAGTGTTGACTGATGAGTGAGATTGTGATTTTGGAAAATTTTATATTTTTATATAATTTATTAAAAAAGTTACTAATTTAATTGAAAATTAAATGTTTAAATTTCATTTTGAATACATTAACCACATAATAAATCCGATAATAACCAGACACTTGAGTAATCATTATATGGTTATTTTAATCCTCCTCGTTAGTTATAAGACGTAATAGAGGTTGATATATAATTTTATCTTATAATAATATGTCTGGCATATGCGTTGTTATATATGTGAATATAATTTATGAAAAACCCTTCAGTTTTACATCTGAATTCATTGTTAGCAGAAGAAAAATGAGTGCCTTGATGAAGCTTGTAGTTCTTGTCCCATGTGCTTTCTTCCTCATAGCTTTAATCAATTTCCTTTATGATTACTTGTGGAGGCCTCCCCGTATACAGAATATGCTGAATTCACAGGGAATCAAAGGACCTCCTTACAGATTCATCCACGGAAACAACAAAGAAGTTACCAGTATGAGAAAGGAAGCATTAAGCAAAAGCATGGGCTCAACAGATGAAATATTTCCCAGAGTGCAGCCACATATTTACTCCTGGATCAACAGATATGGTAAGATCGATGCATATACTTTTTTTTAACTATAATTTCAAACTTGTAGCTCTATTATAAGATTGACTGACCCTTTTTTTGTTTACTTGATTAGGGAAGAATTATCTTTGTTGGAATGGAAATCGAGCTGAACTGGTGATTTCAGAACCTGAACTAGTCAAAGAGGTTATGAGAAATAGTGAAAAAGCTTTTCCGAAAGCCAAGCCATCGTTTTATGTCAGCAAGCTATTTGGGAACGGGCTTGTGTTTATTGAAGGGGAAAAATGGGTGAAGCACAGGAAGTTGTCGAATAACGCTTTCCATGGGGAAAGCCTAAAGGTAAAGCCTCGGAATACATAGAAAAGTGCAAAATTTTGGCAAATTTACTTTGTTTCTAAGACACTAGTTCTTCTTTGACACGATCAATCTTTTATTTTAATTCATTAACTTATTTCCAGTCAGCGGCTTTTGCAGTAATACTATTTCCAAACTTGGCTAAATCTTATGTTGTTGCTTACATATTGAAGCATTATTTGAGCAGAATATGACTCCAGCCGTAGTTGCTACCGTTGAAACCATGCTAGAAAAGTGGAAAGGCCAATAAGGTAAAGAGATCGAAGTGTTCCAAGAGTTCAGATTATTAACTTCAGAGGTGATATCGAGAACAGCTTTTGGTAGCAGTTACTTGGAAGGGGAGAAGATTTTTGCCTTGTTGAACAAGTTATCCATAATTGTGGGCCGAAATATTTTCAATACCGGAATCCCATTCATCAAGTATGTTCTCTCCAAGCTTAACTAAATCCCCTAGTTTTGCTTTTTCGTTTTAAATAACATCGGTTTGCTTCTATAGCAAGTTATGGAAATCTGCTGATTTATTGGAGTCAGAAAAACTTGCAAAAGAGATACAAGATTGTGTGATGAAGATTGTTAAGAAAAGAGAAGACAAAGTTGTGAATGGAGAAGCTGATAGCTTCGGCAATGATTTTCTGGGATTACTTGTAAAAGCTTACCAAGATTTGAACGAGAAAAAGAAGCTTTCATGGGAAGACTTGGTAGATGAGTGCAAAACATTCTACTTCGCTGGACAAGAAACTGTTAATTCCTTGCTCGCCTGGACAGTCTTGCTTTTAGCAATCCATGGAGATTGGCAAGAAAGACAAGAAGAGAGGTGATTAACATATTTGGTAACCAAAATCCACATCCTGAAGGCATCACAAAACTCAAAACAGTAAGCAAACTATCCAACAATCTAAAATTAGTGTATACGAGAAGTTGTGATACAAATTCACATGTTTCTATTCTGCAAAACAGATCACCATGATCATTAACGAAACACTGCGGTTGTACAGTCCACCGAATGGCTTGGTAAGAGGAGTTGAAAGAGAAGTTCAGTTGGGAAAGGTGGTCTTGCCTGCTAATATAGATCTTCTGGTGCCAAATATTGCACTTCACCATGACCCTCATTTCTGGGGAGATGATGTGCATCTGTTTAAACCAGAGAGATTTGCAGAAGGGATTGCTAAAGCTACCAAATGCAATGCTGCTGCATATTTTCCCTTTGGATTGGGGCCTCGATCTTGTGTTGGTATGACCTTTGCAACCACGGAAACGAAGATTGCTCTCTCCATGATTCTACAACACTACGCCATTACCCTTTCCCCTGCCTATGTCCACTCACCAATGCCTATTATCACCCTTCAACCACAACATGGAATTCAAGTAATACTCGAGTCACTGCACAACAACGATGCTTGAAGTACACAGTAGCTGACTTGGGTTTAAGCCCGTGATACTAGTTATCCTTGTTTAAAAGAATTAATCTTCTTATAGCTTTAAGAAAATATTGTTCAGAATAATATTACTTTTGCTTATTTGGCTATATCAAATTAACATTATTATGTTGATCAAGCATATTTGGCCGCTTGACTAAGCTGTCTTTGTGCTCATCTGTGTTTTATATTATAGGTAGCGCAATGACACCCCCAACTTTGAAGGTATAATTACATTTTAAGTCACTGGTAGTTTTGAAACTATTACAATTAAATCATTGTCCATCTCAAAATTTTTTGATATAATTATTGTTTAGGGCATTTTCAGTTTTAAAATTAATGAAATTAAACGTTGACCCTAAATTTATCTGTTTAATTACTTTTTAAGACTTTTGAATTTTAAAATGAGTGAAATTAAATCTTTAATCTCTTAATTTTTGTGGTTTAATTATTTTTTTAAATCCTATTTATTTTAAAGTTAAACAACTTGTCCACTCATAGTTTAATCCTAACTTTATCCCTATTTGTTCTCTCAAATTTTCTTAGGGTTCTAGACCCACTAAAAACACTTTCCTTCCTTCTCCTAGTCCTAGATCTCTTTTCTCTATCCTCTAGGTATTATTATGATTAAGTTTAGAATTTGTCAAAGAAAATAATATTATTATGGTAGAGTATCTACGTCGATAACTGTTGTAAATCCAATAATATAACTAGAATTAAATTTTATGTTATAATCAAAGATTTAATAGCATGAATAGTACAAAAACTTAAAATTAAATTATAATTTAATGCAATTTACTCCAAATTTTAACTTTTTTGACTATACTTATTTAAAAGACTTATTGATTGTGGCTTTTGAATAATGATTAGTTGTTCATAATGAAGATTTATAAAGATGAAAAGTAATGGACCGTTAATGCCATAATCACTCTACACGTACAGCCTCCTAAAGCAGCTTATACCGACACTTGTAAGACCAAAAAAATAAAACATTCTGACAAGAATGGCACAGTCAATGAAAAAGTTTGACACGTTTCGTACCCACACTTGTAATATGTGTGACGTATTCTTTGAGAGAAGAAAAATGAGTGCCTTGATGGAGCTTGTAATTCTCGTCCCTTGTTGTTTCTTCCTCATAGCTTTGATCAAGTTCCTTTATGATTACTTGTGGATACCTCTCCGTATACAGCATATGCTGAATTCACAGGGAATCAAAGGACCTCCTTACAGGTTCATCCATGGAAACAACAAAGAAGTTGCCGAAATGAAAAAGGAAGCATTAAGCAAACCTATGGGCTTGACGCATGATATATTTCCCAAAGTGCAGCCACATCTTTACTCCTGGATCAACAAATATGGTAAGGTCGATGAATGTTTTTCACCATGATTTCTAACTTGTTGTTCTAAGAAAAGAAAACCCTTTTTGTTATTTTTATGTGATTAGGGAAGAATTTTCTTTTCTGGAATGGTGTTCGAGCTGAACTTGTGATTTCAGAACCTGAACTGATCAAAGAGGTTGTAAGAAACACTGAAAAAACTTTTCCGAAAAGGAAGCCTACACTTTACCTTAGCAAGCTCTTAGGGAACGGGCTTGTGACAGTTGAGGGTGAAAAATGGGTGAAGCACCGGAAATTGGCCAACCACGTTTTCCATGGAGAAAACTTGAAGGTAAACCCTCGAAATATGTTGTGATTGCAATATCTTATGTTGTTACTTATATTAGGTGAGTATTAAATGAGTCGAGTATTGCTGCTTATATATTGGGGGATTGTTGAGCAGAACATGACTCCAGCAGTAATTGCTAGCGTCGAAACGATGCTCGGAAAATGGAAAGGCCAAGAAGGTAAAGTGATCGAAGTGTTCGGAGAGTTTAGATTATTGACATCGGAAGTGATATCGAGAACAGCTTTTGGCAGCAGTTACTTGGAAGGGGAGAAGATTTTCGCCATGTTGAACAAGTTATCAATAATCATGAGCCGAAATGTTTACAAGACTAGAATTCCTTTCATCAGGTTTGTCCCCTCTAAGTTGAGTTAATCCCAACTTCGTTTTCAGTATATATAGCTGACCTTGGTTTACTTCTATAGCAAGTTATGGAAACCTGCTGATTTGCTAGAGTCGGAACAACTTGCACAGGAAATACAAGAATGTGTGATGAAGATTGTTGAGAAAAGAGAAGACAGAGTTGTGAATGGAGAATCCAATAGCTTCGGTGATGATTTTCTGGGATTACTCGTAAATGCCTATCATGATTCGGACGAGAAAAATCGACTTTCATTGGAAGAATTGGTAGATGAGTGCAAAACATTCTACTTTGCTGGACAATCAACTGTTAATTCCTTGCTCTCCTGGACAATCTTTCTGTTAGCGATACATGGAGATTGGCAAGAGAAAGCAAGAACCGAGGTGATCTACGTATTCGGGAACCGGAATCCACATCCCGAAGGCATTGCCAAGCTCAAAACCGTAAGCAAACTGACTAACCATCTAACATGTTAATGCGATGTAATCTTACATGTTTCTATTCTGCAAACAGGTGACCATGATCATCAATGAAACACTGAGATTGTATGGTCCATCGAATGGAATGATGAGAAAAGTTGGAAGAGAAGTTCAGTTGGGAAAGCTAGTCTTGCCTGCTAATATAGATATTCTGGTTCCAAACGCTGCACTTCACCATGACCCTCAACTGTGGGGAGATGATGTGCATCGTTTTAAGCCGGAGAGATTCGCAGATGGGATCGCCAAAGCTACCGATTACAATGCGACTGCGTTTTTTCCCTTCGGATTGGGATCTCGGTTTTGTGTCGGTATGACCTTTGCAACCACGGAAACGAAGATAGCTCTATCCATGATTCTACAACGCTACGCCATTACCCTCTCCCCTGCCTATGTCCACTCACCAGTACCTATTATCAGCGTTCATCCCCAACATGGAATTCAAGTAATACTCGAGTCATGGCAATAACAATGCTTGATGTACATGGTTGTTAAGATTTTGGGATTCAACTTAGTTTAATAATTCATCTACCTTTAAGACTATATTCTTATTGCTTTAAGAAATATTAATTAGAAATGTTTGAATCCATGCAACAGAAACTTATAGAATCACAGTTTAATCAAATTTCTATTAAAAAAAGACAAAAATTACATTAAATAGACTCTAGATGAATAAAATATATTGGTTGGTTAATGATCAACGCTCTTCATCTACATGATAAATATATATTTAAAGTTATGACATAATATATGTTACATGTATCTAAGTGAAAACGTGGCACATGATATGTGAATGTTTAATGTCATATATAAAATATATCTGAGTGAAGACATGATATACGTGTACAAAGTAATAATTTGACATGTATTACATATATATAAGTGATTATATGTTATATGCTATAGATTCAAAGTGATGATGTGATACATCTGATGTATATATGAGTAATAGTGTGACACGTAATATATCATCATTTTAAATATATATAAGTAGTTTGTTAAGAATATCGATTGTCAGTCAACTAATATTTTTTATGAAATTATTTTATTTTAAAATAAAATATTAGAATCAAAATACTCTAAATATATTTATTTAATTAAATATTAATAAATTGATATTATATATATTTATATTACATTGTAACTTGCTGCGTATTCAAGCAAGCCGACAATCAAGAAGATAATGCATTGCACTTTGCCACCTGCCCGCATTCCTTTTGAATTGAATTATAATACTTTTTTTTGAAAAAAAAAATTAAGATATGTGAGTGATGAAATTATAATTTTTATAATGTTTAGGATTTAAAGTTTACATATATATATTTACAGTATGGGTTGTTAATTTGGAGAGAAAGTCATAATTGAACTTAACTTTTTTTTAATTTTAGTTTGTTTTTATTAGGACACATAAGATTTTAAGTCAAAGAAAACAAACTTCTAAAATTTTAAAATATAAAAAATACAAAAATCTCTAAAATATATATTAATTTAAAAATTTTACCTCCGGTCAAATTTCTTCGGTTCATCCCTACCCTCTATTCATAGCATGGAACAAATGAGACAAACTAAGCAAATAATTATCTCTCAATGTTATATATATGTATATAAAAAATTAGTAATTAAAATCATAAATGGAGAAGATATTGGATTTCCACTACTTTCATAATCTCAACTGAAAGTTGTCTCAGATTTACTATTCATCACCGAGATTGATGAAAAATATTAAAAAAATCATCTTTTTACAATTTTTTACTGTAATTCTGATTTTGACACTTAGTATTGACTAATTCAAATTGACTAATATTATACATCTAATTTTAGTAAGTGAGTCTTCTAACAAGAATTTTATATATATATATATATAAATTTGAACTTAAAACATTGTTTAAACGCTATCAAATTATTTTTTAAATTAATGTTCAAAATTATTAAAAAAAATATTAAAAGGAAATTTTACTTATAATTAAAAAAATATAATATTGTTCATTAATTTAATATGATATCCTTTTGGCGCTCATTCAAGAAGACCATTTCTCCATTTTGCATTCGCCTCCAACGGAAATCCAAGCGATGTTGGCAGCTGACAAGAACGAAACGAGCGAGTTGAGAATTTAATTTTCTGTTTTCTCCTAATGTACCAAAAAAAAATATGATATCCTTTTTATTAATAATCATTAACGCTATAATAATCATTTTATAATTGATTATAAATTAAGTGATTATATTATAATTTTAAAATTTTAATAATTAAAAATATTATTTTGATATAATTTAATGATTTTTTATATATTTTTTATATTTTTTAAGCTAGCAGTCAGATATTACTATTACATATTTTGAAGATAACTTTAAGATAATATTTGTTTAAAAATTTCTTAATTAATTAATATATACACATATGCAAACATAATTCAAATTTAAAATCTCGTAAGATTTTATTTTATTATTGGGTCACCTCATAAAATAAAGGCACCTCATAAAATAAAGGCACGTTACAAATAATAATATTCAATGTTTTAACTTGTAATGCGTAGCTAACAGTGTCATAATAGGTTTAATATGTATTTTAGCCCCTCTATTTTAAGGTAATTTTGTTTTGACATTTTTATTATTATTTAGTCAACTTAACCCCTCAATTTTTATTTTGTCTGCACCGTTAACCCTTTTGATATTTTTTATTAAAAAATAATGGCATGGTTCAATCAGGTATCACCTCATGTGAAAAGAAAATAAATTTCTTTTTTTTTCATATTTGTCTATAATTTTATTTAAGTTTTTAATTTTTTAAGTCTTTGTAACAAAATGTTATACCACAAAATCTTATTGAGCAAGTGACATTTTTAATGGAAAACATCCCACAAGTAATGGTGTCGACAGAATAAAAATTGAAAGATTTAATTGATCCAAAAATAATAAAAATATCAAAATAAGAATTACCCTACAATAGAGGTGCTAAAGTAGATATTAAACTTTTATAATAACATGTCTCGACATATACTTCCTATCATATATAAATAAAATAGAGTAAAGTGCACAAATATACAGTATTAATTTATTGAGTATAACGTCTATTTAAAGTTATAAAATGACTCTCTAATTATAGGATGTTATTTTGTTGAGTCGTTCGACTATTAAAAATTACAAAATAATCATATGACTATTTATATGTTCCAAACTCATATTTTTCCATTAAAAAACTGACAGTCGTCTAAGTTTAATGTTAATCTACTAAATGTAGGAATGACAACAGGGCGGTTTCGGACCGGGGATTGGTTCCCCTGTCCCCGTTCCCGTTTAAAAAATCCGTACACGTCCCCGCTTAAAAAACCGCAGGGATTTAAACAGGGATCCCGATCGGATAATTGAGGAAAACCGCAAGGAAACGGGTATCCCCGTTTAGCATAAACGGTTATTTAAACGGGTATCGGGCCGGGTATCGGGCTGGGTATATATATTTAAATTAAATATATAAATATTATATATATATTTTAATTAAAATTAAAATTATTAAAATTATATATATATATATATAATTATTATTTTTAATATTTATCGGGTCGGGTATTCAGGTAATCGGGGCGGGGATTACCAAACCCGTCCCCGTCCCCATTTAAAACATTCGGTTTTCCCTGTCCACGTCCCCGTTTATCATCCCCAAACTCGATCCGTTTAATTCGATTTTCGGTTTTCCTCGACGGGTTCGGTTTTTTTTGCCATCCCTAACTAAATGTAATATGATAAAATCATATTTTTAATGATGTCTACTAGTACTGTCGTTGCTTCATGTTTCAAGTATTGACTTGACGGTATAATGTAAACAGAGAGTCGATATACAAAATACAACTCAAAAGATTTTGGGAACAAATTTTATCATATTCGAGTTAACAAGTTAACGTCTAGCCCATACGAATGCTAATTTTCTAACAGAAAAGGATGAGTTTGTAATATATGAATAGTGGAGAGATTATTTTGTAACTTTTAATAGTCGGAGGACTCAACAAAACAATATCTTATAGTAAGATCATTTTGTAACTTTTAAATAGTTACGGAACTTAACAAAATAACGTCCTATAATCGAGGGACCATTTGTATACTTTACCAAATAAAATATTGATGCTCTTCGAACTATGGAGCCGAAAGGAAATGGCATAATTCTAAAAATAGCCTCCAATGTTTACTAAAATGGTCACTTTGGCCCAAATTTTTTTGGAGCATTTTGACCCTTAATGTTTCACTTTGGGGCAAAAAGCTCCCTAGATGAAAACTATTAATTAACACACGATTAACGTTCTAAAATATAAGCTTTTTTAACCTAAAATCAAACTTTGAGAGCTAAACTGCCCTAAAAATAAGGGACAAAATGATTATTCTCTCAAATGTTATGGTACTTTTTACCCTAAAATAAAATGTTAGGGGCTAAAATATTAAAAAATAAAATAAAGGGTAAAATGAATATTTCAATTAGCATTACGTAAAAGGAGATATAAAACCTACCCATTTGCGTCATTGCAAATGTAACTTTAAACAGTGTCACGTTTATAATTGGAAGAAATTTAATATTGCCATCATTATTTAAATCATTGGTCATTTGTCTTTGATCAAATTTGAAATCCTTGACGATATCATAATCTAAACACTAAGGCAACACCAGAACTCATAATTCAGAGAAGAAGAATGAGTGCTTTGATGAAGCTTGTTCTTCTTGTCCCATGTTCTTTGTTCTTCATAGCTTTGATGAAGTTGCTTTATGATTATTTGTGGATACCTCTCCGTATACAGCGTATGCTGAATTCACAGGGAATTATGGGACCTCCTTACAGATTCATTCAGGGAAACAACAAAGAAGTCGCGAAAATGAGACAAGAAGCGTCGAGTAAATCACCGGGCTTGACGCATGACATATTCCCCATAGTTCATCCTCATATGTGTTCCTGGATCGAAAAATACGGTATGATCAATGCATGTTTTCACTGTGATTCCTAACTTCTTGTTCTAGGAAAAGATGTACCCTTTTGTTGTTTATGTGTTTAGGGAAGAATTATCTTTCTTGGGACGGTGTTCGACCTGAAGTCGTGATTTCAGATCCTGAATTGATCAGAGAAGTTCTGAAAAACAGTGAAAAAGCTTTTCCGAAAAGGAAGCCTACGGTTTACCTTAACAATATGTTAGGGGATGGAATCCTGTTAGTCGAGGGCGAAAAGTGGGAGAGGAAGAGGAAGTTAGCAGATCATGTCTTTCATGGAGAAAGCTTAAAGGTAAAAGTAAAATCCTTTGTTCTTCTAGTAGTTATGATTCTCAGGAATTATAGTGGAGGATTGTTTGTTGCAGAACATGACACCGACAATAATCGCTAGTGTTGAAACAATGCTCGGAAGATGGAAAGGCCAAGACGGTAAAGAGATTGAAGTATTCGGAGAGTTTAGAGTACTGACATCGGAAGTGATATCGAGAACAGCTTTCGGTAGCAGTTACGTGGAAGGGGAGAAGATTTTTGACATGTTGAACAAGATGTCAATAATCATGAAAAGAAATATTTTCAAGACTAGCATTCCTTTTTTCCAGTATGTTTCTGATTCTATTGATTTAGTTTTTCCTTTATACATAGCTAACCTTGGTTTGCTTTTATAGCAAGTTACGTAAACCTGCAGATCTGCTGGAGTCGGAAGCACTTGCGAAAGAAATACGAGATTGTGTGATGAAGATTGTTAAGAAAAGAGAAGACAAAGTTATGAATGGAGAAGCTGATAACTTTGGCAATGATTTTCTGGGATTGCTTGTAAATACCTTTCATGATTCGGACAAGAAAAATCGAATTTCATTGGAAGACTTGGTAGACGAGTGCAAAGCATTCTACTTGGCCGGACAAGAAACTGTTAATTCTTTGCTTGCCTGGACAGTCTTCCTTTTAGCAATCCATGGAGATTGGCAAGAGAAAGCAAGAAGACAGGTGATTAACATATTTGGTAACCAAAATCCACATACTACAGGCCTTGCCAAACTCAAAATTGTAAGTAAACTGTCGAACTGCAACAAGATGTTACAGTCGTTATTTTTGTAGTCCGAGATGTAATCTGACATATTCATATTTTGCAAACAGATGACGATGATCATTAACGAAACTCTAAGATTGTATGGTCTATCAAATGGCCTGATGAGAAAAGTTGGAAGAGAAGTTCGGTTGGGAAAGCTAGTCTTGCCTGCTAATATAGATCTTATGTCTCTAAATGTTGCAGTTCATCATGACCCTCAACTATGGGGAGATGATGTGCATCTTTTTAGACCAGAGAGATTTGCAGAAGGTATTGCCAAAGCTACCAATTATAATGCGGGTGCATTCTTTCCCTTCGGATTGGGACCTCGATCTTGCGCTGGCATGAGTTTTGGAATAACTGAAACAAAAACTGCTCTCTCGATGATTCTACAACGCTACTCCTTCACCCTCTCCCCTGCCTATGTCCACTCACCAATATCAGCTATCACCGTTCAACCGAAACATGGAATTCAAATAATACTCGAGTCACTGCACGATGATGCTCAGAGTACACAGTAGCTAAGGACATGGTAAAGAAATGCAAGCAACTTTTAATTCCCAAAACGGTAAAGCAAGCAATCAATAGAAAGAATGCATGTTCAGTGTATAATTTGTACTAGCTATGCAATCAATAAATGCTTAACTTTTCTTTTCTATTGTTTCCGTCAACTTATTAAACATAACTTAAGCATTGATTTTTTTCATTACTTAAAGAATGAAACAAGAGTAATTGTAAGTTTTGTTAATCTGATAAATGGTTTAGAAACTGTTTCTCTTAATTATGTCGAAAACGTTTCGTTCTCTTTTGTTGAAATACACTGACCACAGCTTACAAAAAGTAACCTCTTGATCCGTTGTTAATAGAAGAAAACCGATTGCCTCGATGGAGCTTGTAATTCTTATCCCATGTTGTTTCTTCCTCATAGCTTTAATGAATTTCATCTACGATTACTTGTGGATACCTCTCCGTATACAGCATATCATCAATATGCAGGGAATCAAAGGACTTCCTTATAGATTCATCCATGGAAACAACAAAGTTGTCAAAATGTGGAAGGAAGCATTCAGCAAACCCCTGGCCTTGAATGATTGTATATTTCCCAGAGTGTAGCCACATATATGCACCTGGATCGACGCATACGCGATGCATGTTTTCCACTCATTTCTTACTTCTTGTTCTAAGGAAAGATTGATAATTTTTTGGGGAAGAATTATCTTTATTGGAACGGTGCTCGAGCTGAACTTGTGATTTCAGAACCTGAACTAGTCAAAGAAGTTCTGAGAAATAGTGAAACTTTTCCGAAAAGGAAGCCTAATATTTACCTCAGCAAGCTCCTAGGGAAAGGACTTGTGTTTATCGAGGGCGAAAAATGGATGAAGCATCGAAAACTGGCCAATTACGCTTTCCATGGAGAAAGCTTCAAGGTTAAAAGCCTTGAAATATATGAATGTAGAAGAATTATACATGGCTAAACCTTATGTTGTTGTTTACATACTGGAGGATTGTATGGACAGAACATGACCCCAGCACTAATTGACAGTGTTGAAACAATGTTAGAAAAGTGGAAAGACTGAGGAGGTAAGGAGATCGAAGTGTTCCATGAATTTCGATTATTGATATCGGAAGTGATATAGGTAGCAGTTACTTGGAAGGGGATAAGATTTTCACCATGTTGAACAAGCTGTCGATAATTATGAGTCGAAATCTTTTCAAGACCAGAATTCCTTTCATCAAATATGTTCCCTCTAAGCTTAATTAATCCCTGACTTTAGTTTTCCCCCCTTTATATGCTTTGATTTGCTTGAACAGCAAGTTATGGAAACCTGCGGATTTGCAAGAGTCGGAAGACCTTGCAGAAGAAATAAAAGATTGTGCGATGAAGCTTGTTAAGAAAAGAGAAGAAAAAGTTGTGAGCCGAGAAGCCGATAACTTTGGCAATGATTTTCTCGGATTACTTGTAAACGCCTACCATAATTGAGACGAGAAAAAACAGACTTTCACTGGAAGATTTGGTAGATAAATGTAGAACATTATACGTTACCGGACAGGAAAAGGTTAATTCCTTATTAGCCTGGACAATCCTGCATTTAGCAGTCCATGGAGATTGGCAAGAGAAAGCAAGAAGAGAGGTGGTTGATATATCTAAGCTTAAAACTGTAAGTACTAATGTTTAGTACATTAAATTATGTGATTTAATCTGATATATTCTTGTTCTGCAAACAGATGACCATGATCATTAATGAAACTTTAAGATTGTATGGCCCTGCAAATGGCCTAATGAGAAGAGTTCGAAGAGAAATTCGAATCAGAAAGCTAGTCTTGGCTGCTAGTATAGATCTTCTTGTTGCAACTGCTGCACTTCACCATGACCCCCGACAATGGGGAGATGATGTGCATCTTTTTAAACCAGAGAGATTTGCAGGTGTTGCCAATGCTACCAAATACAATGGGGGTGCATTTTTTCCCTTCGGGTTTGGACCTCGAGCATGCATTGTTATGAACTTTGCAACTGCGGAAACTAAGATTGATCTTTCCATGATTCTGCAACGCTACACCATCACCCTCTCCCCTGCCTATGTACCCTCACCGGTATCTGCTATCACCATTCAACCACAACATGGAATTCAAATAATACTCTAGTCGCTCACTGCGTAACGATGCTTAGTGTACCTAGCCTCAATGAACTCAGGGTTAATCCAGTTGGATCATGTGTTCCCCTTTAAAAGCTGGAAGAGGTAATGATAAAAAAAAAACTTTAATGGAAAAGTCGGATACATCATGTATGTTTACTTTTAAAGTAATGTTCGGATCGATTTGTTCGAGGGGAGGCAATTTCAAGGTTTACATGTAACCCCATATTCAAAAGGATCTGCCCCTAGAATATGCAGACCATGGATAATACAGCTAACAAGAGGGAAAGTACCATTTCTAAGAGGGAAATGTCCTGCAACTCAACTAATATTAGGCATCACCCATTCTATTTCTTGCCTTATGTTTCCACCTAAGGGAAAAGGGTCTCCAACACCGAATGGGGACCTCGGCCTTTTCATTGTAACGACTTGTGAACCGACACCCATTGGCGACAAAGGGCTTCCAGTCAAGCAGCTTTCAACAGAGCAGTCACCAATTCGAGCCGGCATATTGGAAGCAGGTTTGTTCTCTAAAGCTGCAGCTAGTTCTGACAAGGAAGGCAATTTTATATTATCGAGAGGGGTCATCCCTTGACAATCGTTCGAAACCTTGATAGCCAGTTCGGAAAGCTCATCTCTGGCTGCTTCTAGACCGGCAGAAGTAGCAGCCTGATTGTTCAGAGCTTTACAGGCTTTATCCAGTATCGACTGTAGGTATTTGCCTTGTGCTTCGATTCGGAGTTGAAGACGACGTTGTACCTGCCAGGTGAAACCATAAGTATTCTGAACTTTTTAGCATCAGCAAGTGGAATTTTTGGAAATAACTTTATTGGCTAGCATATAGATATCAAGAATTAACCAACCTCCAACTGTTCATGTAGTTTACGTTGAACTTCCATTTGCACTCGAAGAGCTTCGGTAACCTGGTAACCACTGTTCGGAAGATGAAATCCATCATTCATCTGGAATTCAAAAAAAGAAACTAACAAGATCTTCAAACAAGAGCAAAAACAACATACTCATTCGCATCTTGTGCAACCATTCTCGATGACGCTGTCGTAGATGAGCCAGTGTCCTGCCTTTCCGCAACCAAAGAAGCTGAAATGCCAACGAAACATCTCATTAATAGTCAATTAAGAGGATAGCTGTTGTCTGGCATCTATTTGTTCACCCAGACACATACCATCCTTAGAGTTATCAGTTGATTCCTTGGAAGATTGCTTTCCTAGTCTGTATTTCTGCACACAAAAAACCGAGGTATTTAATAAAGGACAATAGAAAATAGAGTTATAAGAATTTCAATTAGCTTAATTGCTCAAGCTCGCTCCTTTCAACAACAAAATACATGCAGGTATAAATGGGTGCACAGAAAGGCACAAATTAAGCTTCCTAATTATGGCAATAAATAGTAAATTAGGATCTATCTTTGATATAGAAACCCCGGGAGCAAAGGCATGAAAGCACCAATATAACAAGGGAACAACTTTAAATCGTGGTCATTCATGAGATGGCTGTAATAACAAACCTGAAGATGTGATTTCAAGTGATAGAGGGTAAGGCCTTTTACTCCCATTGTTCTCATAATAGTCTTGGGGGTTGCTTCTGCAATGCATACGGAGACAAAAAAAAGTACATTACATCAAGATCTGCAACTTAATGATAACAAAATGCTAGAGCAAGGAAGACACAACAGAAGGTACATAAAATCCGAGTCGTATAATGTCTTCATTATCAGCTAGGTTTAGTTCACACTTCACATAGTTAACTCCGAGTTCCAAACAAAGAAACATGTATGATCAGCCTGCTTTACAGAAGAGTTGTTCTCTAGGAACCAGGCTTGTATCCTTGAAGCATTTTTGGCTATTTTTAACAAGCTAGTCCTATTCCTCAGCAGTGGTTAAGCATGATTTAAAATGAATAATGCATACGTCGTAAAGAAGGAAAGAACATTGGGGTACGATGTTCGAAAAACCATTTCTTACAATTATCGCTAATCCTTTGGCATAATTTTTATGGAAGAAAAATACTAAGACCAAGAATATTCTTCCAGACCAAGCAAAGAACCACAGTTGCTTTAATTTGTCTTCCTATAGTAAGTATGCAGACCAAAATTATTCAACTTAATGGCTCCGAAACAGGGTTTTGTCCTTTGGGTCGTATTTTATTGCTAGATAAGTACCCCAGAAACATATCCTGGCCACAAGAATATTAATGTTTATGCAAATATGTCATAATTTGGTTTCGAACTATATTAGTAGCAATAGAAAACATGATTCTTAAACCATACCAAAGATTACAAAGGAAAACAAGTGTAGTTTGCAATAAAGTCAAAGCTGATATGAGGAACATGGTAACAACATATCTTCTTCATACAAAACAAGGCAAAGAACACAGCTTTATTCACTTCAATTCAACTTACTAAACATAACATCAATTATTAGTTCCACAACCAAAACTAAGATCAAAATCAGGGACTCAAATAGCGGTCCCCTATCGGAATAGGGGCAGTTATATAGATGTAATAGTGTCATCTTAAAATCACACGCAATTTAGATCGCTGATCAAAATGAAACTAAATTTGCGGAAAACATAGAAATTTGAATTCCAATCTCATCAGCCAAAACAATTATACAGCTATCAAAGCCCCAAAGAAACTCAATGACCAAATCTCAAGAACAAAAAGCTACAGAGAATTGAATATTTAGAAGTACCCAAAATCCAAAAAAGTTGATTAATTTTTATTTTATTAAAAAGGGACTTTGATTAACACTAATATATCACATTATTATTACCCAATCAATCAAAAAGAAACAGAGCAAAATCACATTTTTTTCTGCTAAAAAGCAAAAGGAAAAGATAACCCAGAGAGAGAGAGAGAGAGAGAAATAACTGTCAGGGCCGCCGAGTTGAGTTACAGCATCGACAAAACGTTCATGGAGCTCAGCCGTCCACCGGAGTCGAGGCTTGGGGTCCGATGTTAGGACCAAACAAGCATCACCGGGCAAGTTGGTCCCATCAAGTGACCCTTGGTAATCCCCCACACATCCTTCTAACGGTAACGACCGAATAGCCGAGTACATTTCTTCTCAAACTTTTCTTTTTTCTCGAGAAAGCGATGGAAAATGCAGAGGGAAACCAATGAAACGATCTGAGCTGAGCCCTTTCTCTCCGGTTTCGGGTTCAGGGCTCGGAGCCCGCAAACTGTAAAAGAAGAAGAAAATAGGAACAGAGAGAGAGAGAGAGAGAGAATTATAATAGCGAAGTGAGTGAATATTGAGGCATGCAGAGATTAAGACAGCAATGTGTTGATGTGTCGTTGTCGTTGTCTTTGTCTTTCGCTTTCATTCTCTCTCTCTCTCTCTTAATACTTAATTGGTTTTTCTTATTTATTTTAAAACAAAAGGTAAACTATACATTTAGTATCCCAACTATTACTTTTGTTCTATTTTGGTCACTCAACTATAATTTTTTTCAAAATCATACCTAACGTGACTTTTTAATTTTATTTTGATCACCTACTGTTAAAAATTTAACAGAACTAATGATATGATATTTTTTTTTGTTTTTTTCTCAATAAAGACATAACATTATCTTATGATGGCATAACATTATCTTATGGTGACACATCAGTATCATCATTACTTTTTTAATAATGAGTGATCAAAATGAAACTAAAATTTAATATTATGTATGATTTTAAAAAAAGTTGACTGGACAAAACAGAATAAAAGTGATAGTTGGGTACTAAACTTATAGTTTACCCTAAAATAAATTCTTTTTAAATTCATTTAAGAATTAAAACTTTACAAACTATATTTTATTTTATTTTTATTGATGGGGACCACATAGTTGAGTTGGCTATTTTTAAACCATTTTCAATTTTGAAAAGTTTACTTTATTTGGCTAAATTTATAATTTTAAATATTTTGCTTGTGGATGTTAGAAAAATGTCAATTATGGAGTAGAATTATAGAGTTGTTGGAGAGATATTTCTCAATTTAGTTTTAATTTTGAGTTAGTTGATAGAATATATAAATAATATAAGGTAAATATATAATTATATTAATTTTTTAATGTTAAATTTTTTATTGAATATTAATAATCAATAATTTAATTGATATCATTAAAATAATTAATTAATCTAATTAATAGAATTTAAAAATTAATATAAGATTAAAAACTTTTTAATTAAACGATCATAAATGTAATTTACTCTATAATTAAATAGAGGTCAATATAAAATGATTTATTTTTTATCATTACAAAAAATCAAGTGTCAAGTAAAAATACATAATTATAAGGATTTTTAAAAATATATTTAGATTAAATTCATATTTTAGTAGAATTTAAATGTGAGAAAATAATTTTTATTATTAATAACCTATAGCTTTAATTATCAATTAACTTTTTTCTTACATTTTAAATATATTTTAGACAGAATCAAGTTAAAATTAAATTTAAACAATTATTTTTCGTACTTAACTGGTTTCAAACCACAAATGTCTTCGTTAAAAGCTGGTTTGGATTAAGATTTGAGATTATATTATTTTATTATTTTAAATTTGAACTACTATGTTATTTTCTGTATGAGGTTACACTGGATATTAAATCAGTGTAATACGTAATCAGGTTTATATTAATAAATTTTAAGTTTACATTATTTAATAATTTTATAAGATATATTTTTTGGCTGGTAATGGAAAGTGGAAATTTATATTACTCCATTAGGTATTAATTATTATGAATATTTAGATATAGCACTCATATTTTATTTCATTAAATTAGAAGTATAAAGCCCAATATATTTGCGTCGTCCGTATATTCATGTTCGAGTTTACATATTTCTATAATAATTAAATATAATGTATTTCTGCAGAAATTAAGAAACATCGATGCTTAAAAGAATAATTGTTACTTTTTAGAATTCTTAAGTTATAAGATGAGATCGTAATTGTGTTTTAGTTTTCATTGTCAAATTATTGTGGATCTTTAAAACAAATATTAACTTAT